CGTTTATAACTTACTTGTGTAATTATCCAAACCTTTATACGTTTTCTGCTTTTTGTATTTGTTTTTGTACTTGTTTGTTTTTTGGTTGCATTTAGATCTAATGTAAATCATCTGCCAGCATAATGAAAGACAACTTAATGATTCAACAGAGTTCAATACACCAGGAACAGACGAGGATCCTAACTGCATTCTGTTGGTCTTAAAATTAAGTATGAAAGCCCCTAAATCTCTCCAAAAGTCACCTGATCCATCTCTATTATGTACTGATTTACACTGAAATGCTGTCAAATCAAAATCATAAAAAACCGAACATAAATAAATGCATTTTTAAAAATGCTCTCAATCTGTAGACGTTATAACAGTTATATGCTTCGCTGTGGCATTGAGATACACCATAATATCTGAAATGTTATGCAAAATGCACAATGGAGAGGGTTTGTTGTTTTTTTTTCCATTTTATTCTAACAATAGGTCACACACAACGCTAAGCGAGGCCTGCAGAAAGAAATGGGAGGAATGCAACCTTAATGAGGATTACTGAAGAGCTTGTGACTCCTTAAATTCATCCGGCTTTGTCCTTCCACCAACTTTAAAGTCACTCTGCTCAAAGTTTTATTGTCTCCGTGTCATATGCCAAACGGCCACACGTTTTAAACCTCTTTTCAAACAATGTCCACATTCACAGCAAATCCTGATCAGACCTTTTTCATCTGCTGAACGTGAACCCTGTAACACGAGCATGAAAACAATGATTAAAATAAGGCAAAAATTTAAAGAAATAACAAAGTAGATTAGTCGTAGATTAAAAAGATTTCATTGATCAGCTGCTAAAATGTTACTAAGGGGTAATAACCACATTAATTAAAATTTAAAAAATGTAAAGCTGTGATTCCAAACCCAGTATAACACACTAATCCAAACCAACTGATGTGGAGAATAATAATTATAATTTTGCTTCAGATTTCTGTCTTTAGAGATTTTTTTGTTTTTCTTTGCTGTTCATCAGATTTTTGTTATACACACATTTCATTCAAGATGTAAACCTCCTCTTGAACACTGTAAATGAGGGTGAAAAACCAACAAATAACCTCCTGCAAAACAAAACCTTGACTGGACCCTTAATTGTGTTTCTACAAGTTACATAAAATGGGATTGATGGTGGGATGTTGTTGCTATCTGCAAAATTCACAGATGAATATAAGACTGGACCAATCCTCTTATTTAACTGCAAGAAAATGAACCTTCACTTGTTGCTTTGGCTTTGAAGCTTTTATTTTACTTCCTGGTATCAGAATTCAGTGTAAACTCTAAAACTGACCTTTTCTCCTTGATGTGACCTGGTTAGGAGGCTTTGCCACTCCAACATGAAGATCTTCTGTCACAGAGTCAGTTTAAGCCTGTCTCAAGTCGGCAGAGAAAGAAGGTGCACTACGGTGGACTAATGTTGCCTTTAATTCATCTCCATATTTGCTGTGGGAAGTTGCACTGGTTTGGGAGTGGTTTTGTGTGTCACATTTGCTGTGAGCCCGTGGCTGTGATGGGATTGGATTGGATTAATTGAAGGCAGGTATATTTGACTGCACTGATACTCTAGTCGACGAATAGCCCACACTACAAATGCTGCTTTGATATTTTGTCTCTCTGCAGGTGTGTCATATGGCCAGATCTAAGACGACTCTGTGCAGGCCAGGACCTACTATAAGCCGCAGCCTAAAGGCAGAGTTGGGTTGCTGAGGCTGGAGTGATTACTGGCCTTCTACTTACTGGGTGGTGGGTCTGTGGACAACTGCTAATCCCTGTTAAAGTCACTGGACTGTTTTGTGCTTTCATTTTTTTGATCATTTTACTAATAAATTATCTCTTAGAATTGCATTGGTTGTCATCTTTAGCCCATGGCTGAGGTGGTTGGTCAGACCAGAATCTGTGTGTTACAGAAGGTGGGAAGATTTTTTTGTATTTCATGTCTTCACTGCTCAGTTTGGAGGTCTGGTCCAAGCAGAAATCATAATCCAAACAAGGCTTCAGTTTGTCTTCATGTGTAAATTTACTCTTTTATTCCACCTACTTGTCACTTAACACACCAAAAACAGCATTTGTTGCTTTATTAAAGAAAAAAACATTTACGGTATAAAGAAAAGAAATGTATAAATCAAACATGGTTTTTAAAATAAATTACTTAAAAAATTTAAAAAAGCAACAAGATGCAGGTTGGAACAGTTAAGCAGTGAACAGAGACTGACTTTCTTAAACACATTTTTGATTTGAGGACTGTCTCTTGCGTGCATTTGCAACACGGTGCCAGATGAGTTATGTTCGGTGCCTTGTTCCCTAGCAACAAGAATATGAACCGTCTCAGTATCCACCTTCATCTTTTTTCATCTTTCCCGGAAGCCAGTTGGGCAATAAAATCAGCCACGAAGACCAAGAAACTGACAGAAAATCAACACTTTTCATAAGATGTTGTAATAATAAGAATCTGGTGCCTCTGCTGGTTTACAGTTTAAAGAGCCCCAGTCAGATGTCGAAGTAACAAAGTACAAATACCTTGTTACTGTAAGGAGAATTTTAAGGCATCTGTGCTTTGCTTGACTAGATTATGTTTCTGGCAGCTTTTTACTTTTACTCCTTACGTTTTCAAAATAGGCTTGTTAGTTTTGGTTCAACACATTTGAGGGGAGATATTATGACACTGCGAGCCTTCACACATCAAACATCTGAGCCTAAACTGTAACACATGAAAGGCAATTCTGTTGGTGTATTAATCACCAGGAGATGTGGCATAAAAAACAGATGAAAGATGAAAAATATGACTTTGTGCCATAGTGAGGGGTTTTTATTTATTTATTTATTCTGACTAATAGTAAACTCAAATTTAATTTCTATCACCTTAACAAACATCACCAAACACACAAACTGTTTGTGTGCAGTTTGTCTTACAGTGTGTTGCTAGCTGAAGGTCCAGCTGCTGTATTTCACAGGGAGAGAAACAAAAGAGCGCTAACTTATATTAAGAAACATGCTGCTAAACAAACTGAGGTAAACTAACTGTGTTATTTAAAGGTGACATGAAAATCCTCTGTAGATGAGTGCAGGATCTGTACTGTTATGGATTTAAAGTAAAGAACAGAACATATTTTTTCTCTGCTGATGTTCTACTTAACCAGTTCAAGCTGAGTTACCTTCATTAGGATTACAATTTAGACTGAAATCTCCTGCTTTGGATGTTAGTGTTCCTATCTACTAAAATTATTTTAATATTACATTAATATAGCACAAGGTTCAGTTAGCTTTGCATTAAAATAGGTGGTTTGAAGATTGGGGGCGGATTTGAGGGCAAAAGTGGGTCTAATCTGCTACTAAAAAGGTATCACTAATGAGTTGTATTTAGTTCGTTTTCAATTAAGTTTAATTCAGTTGTATGTATATAGTGCTAAATCACAGCAATAGCTGCCTCAAGGCGATTTATACCGTAAGGTATAAGACCCTGCACAACCAT